AAGGCTTGAACTTTATGGAGATTGGACCCCCTAAGACTGGCACACACACAGAGACAGGGCAAGCATGCATGCGTCGAAACACAGCACTAGCTGAGGACCACCATCAACATCTACTGGACTGCACCACTACAGCTACACCATACACAGCCACATCCACCGCGCTGAGAGAGAGAGAGAGAGAGAGAGAGAGAGAGAGAGAGAGAGAATGAAGCGCTGTTCAGATACTTTACTAAATGCCAATTAAGTTACATTTATTAATAGAGGACGTCTGGGATTTCATCAACTGATTCTGATGGAGTCCAATTCTATGATAATGCAAGAGTTGGTTGCAGTCCTCTAATCTGATTGGCTGAGTGACATTCCATAGAGTATATTAGCAGTGAGAGTTTTTCATGTTTTGTCAGTTTGCAGGGTTTCAGCAGGGCCACAACCGTCATAGACGTCGAGAGTGACAAGTTTTCTAGAAACGGCCGATATATGATATTGACGCTGCTCTGTTTGTTGTTAGTATGACAAAAGTTGTAAAATGTTAAAGGGGTCATATGATGCGATTTCAAGTTTTCCTTTCTCTTTGGAGTGTTACAAGCTGTTCGTGAATAGATAAGATCCCTGAAGTTGCAAAATAATGATCTTTAAAAAAGCATCATATGACCCCTTTAATGTTTAGGCTGGTCTACCTCAGAGGTATAACAGCGTTCGTCAATGTCAAAATGATTGAGCTGGCCAATTAAATCAAAGAAGGCGGGCTTTAATGTTCACAGTATAGCTGTACATAAATACCAGCACAATGCTTCAGTTTTAACTGTAAGGAATATGTAGCCAAATATTTGATATTTCACAACTGTTTCGCGATAGAAATGCAAAATGTCCAACAGTAATATCCTGTGATGCAAACTACTTGAAATTTCACCATTTTGAATCGAAAATATAGGATGAATCATTTACGTGATTTATGTAATCAGGGCTCTACAGTGCGACCATTTCAGTCGCATTTGCGACTGAAAACTACTGCGTGCGACTATGAAAACATATTTAGGAGCACCAGTGCGACTGACCAGATCTTCATCATACTTGTGATTGTGATCGCTGAGGGGAACTTCAACGGTTTCTACGTGTTTTTGCAGCGTTGAGTAATGCATCACAGACATATCTCATGAATCCTTTCAGAAGCAAAGTGTAAATAAGAGATTCATTGCGCAGTGTAGAGAGCTTCGTTGATTATAAATGTGAGCTCGCGATGAGTGACAGCTTTTAATGATTTTTAAGGGAGTTTGTAAATGTGATACTGATTTAATACAACAGTTAAACAGACAAGAAGTTAATATTAAGTGACTTACATTGTCTGACTATAACACTATGGTCTGATTTTGCTCTATTTCGTCGTCGAAAATAGTTTAAAACAAAGTCACAGCTCAGCCGCTGCGCATCTCCATTCAAACACAGCGGTGTTTCGTTTATGAATGAACTGCGTTTTTAAACGAATCTAGTGAGTCAGTGATTCATGTCATTAAATATTTCTATATTCAGATTTTTTTAAAACATTAATCTTTTAATCATTAATCATTAAATTCATTAATAAACATGAATTTATGGATTTAATTGCACTCATGCCACCTCTGATCCTCATTAAATGTCTGAAAATACACCTACAAGCCACTTTTGTGTTCTTCTGTGCTACCTCTGTACAAATTAATTTTAATACTGATTTCATTTGATTAGTAACTTATTCTTCTTATTCTACTTGTTCTTATTATATGGTTTTATCTAGAATTTTTAAAAAGCTTATAATTATTATTATTTTTTTTTTTAATTTGACAAGATTACATACTTTTAATAAAGATAGAAAAATGCCATTACAAAGGTAAAAACAAAATTCTACTGTAAATCACTTTAAGGAGTCAAATATCACCTCGTAATGGGAAGGCTATTTTTTTTATCAAATTTTGGTGCTCCTACATTTTTGACTGTGCTCCTAAATTTTTTAAGTCAGGAGCACAAGCGCTCCTAAAAAGAAAAATAAGCATAGAGCCCTGGTAATTCATAGCTGAATGTGACGAAACAAGAAATGTTTTGCTGTTTTGCATTATCAACATTATGCACACATTTATTCTTATTTGTATTTTAAAATACAAATATTAGTTAAAAATAATTACACAAAAAAAAAAAAAAAAACTGTGAATGACATTTTTTACTGTTCTTCTTTCTTTTTTCCCTTAAATCAATTTTAATTCTATACTTAATTCCTTTAAATAAAAAGAACATTACAAAAATACAACACCACCGAAAATAAATAAATAATTTGTCCTGCCCAATGTTGAAGGTTCAAGGTTACAGCCTTGCGTTTTAGACCAGAGTACACCATAAAAAACTGTAAATTAAAAAAAAAAAAAAAGTTTTTTTTTTGTTTTTTTTTGGAATTTTGTTTTAAATTGTAAAACTGAAACCAAACTTATTGGAGAACATTTTACAAGAAAGTGCGACGTTAGTCTTTCTATTTCAAAATATCACATCAAATTCAATGTTTTACTTGCCATTTCTTTGTAATTATTTGTGAAATTCAAACAGTTAAAGTAAAAGTAAATCCTACACCATTTTTTTTAAGTGTATGCGGGTGCCTCTTTTTCAGGTTGGAGCATTTGTAATATTTCTTGCTCCACAATAAGTATCAACTATTAACCAAGTAATCAACTATTTACCTAGTAATTTGGCAAAAAGTTTAAATTCATAACAAAGGTCTACCAGGAGGCGCAATGAGACATTTAGTCTAAGTAGCATATTTGTGAAACAATAATATACTGTAAATCACAGATAATCTTATCCAGATTAGGTTAGATTTACTAAATTAGCTGAAAAACATCGGTAGTTTGCTCTGAACATTTTTACTGTGGTTGTATGGAAAAAAAACTCCATGTGTGATTAAATTAAACTGTGAAACATTAATTTACTTGACCAACTCCGGTAAAACCAGCCTGTCAAAACAGGGCAGATACAGAAGAACAGGTCAAGAAAAAAAGACAGAGGAGAAAGAGAAAATATGGCTGAGAGAGAGTTTGAGACAGCGACAGTGAGAGAAACAGAAGAGGAGGTGAGAGGAAGAAGGGAGCAGCTGTGGAGTGTGTGCACACAAGTGTGAATGAGTGAGCGAGGTGACACTTCTTTCTTCTCTGGGAGGACCAGAAAAGATGCTTACCGCTTCACCTGCCATAGAGAACTATTCATCTACAACAGCACCTCACACAAAATGTAGGGGATGATTATGCATTCATCATCATATCAATAATAATAGCTAGATTTGCATTTCTTGATGGAAATATCAGTGCTTGCAAGGCAGCAAAAGTGTTAAGGGAAAATTATAGCTTGAAAAGAAATAATTCAGTATGCAAATATTACAATCACATTCTACATTTTAAAAAGCATTCTATCGTAAGGCAGTTTAAAGACCTCTTAAGTTTGGGGTTTGTAAGATTTGTATTGTTTTTGAAAAAAGCCTTGTATGCTCTCCAAGGCTGCATAATTTGATAAAAAAAAACAAAACAGTAATATCGTGAAATATTATTACAATTTAAAATAACAGGTTTTTTTTATTTTGTATAAAATGTCATTTATTCATTTGATGGCAAAAGCTGAATTTTCATTACTCCAGTCTTCAGTATCTCCTGATCCTTCAGAAATCATCTTAATATACTGATTTGCTGCTTAAGAAACATTTTTACATTATTATTAATGTTGAAAACAGTTTTTGCAGCTTAATTTTTTTTTTGTTTTTTTTTTTTGGTGGAAACCATGGTACTTTTTTTTTTTCCAGGATTCCTAAACTTCAAAAGAACAACATTTATTATTTTGTCTTTACTTTTGATCAATTTAAAGCATTGCTTTAATGCTCGCTGAGTAAAGTATTATTTTTATTTATTTATTTATTCAATCTTACTGACCACAAACTTTTGAAAAGTAGTGTGCCTAAGGGCATATGTCCATCCCTGACATTTCTATGAACTAATTTATGAACCTCAGAAAATTGGACAGAAGAAGAAACAAGCAGGATTTAAATGCACTGCCGCCTTGCAAACACTGTAAAAATAACTGTAAAAACAACGCTAGTCTATAATGTATAAAATGAGTCCCATTTATCCCCCACATTTTTATAGTTTTCACATAACTGAACATTCTGCACTGACAAATATTCATTAAGTCTAATGTCTTGATGAGAAACTCCTCTTGGCTCTGAAGCAAGCCAGGCAAAAACAAGACATGTACACGGCACTTACTCTGTGCCTCAGCAAACAAACCTAAAGGCTTGGCTCTGACGGCAAGCAGCTACGGCACAAGGCTAAATACTCTAGGTCCATACGAGAAGCAAGCTTTTGCAAATAATCAGCACGCTAGTCATGAAAAAGATCAGTTTGCATTCTTATGGCAGACGAGAGGGTTCAGTGAATGTGGTTGCGTTAAAAATGGAATATCCTTTCAGTTAGTCCCCCATTTGCCAGCTCTCTGACTACAGTTACAAGAGGAGGACGTTTCACGCAAGGACGCTTGCCCTGCCACTCCTGTGCCAGCCAAACACTTTTAGGGATCTGCAACGAAAGGAACAGAAACAAAAAGCAAAAAAGAAACAAATAAAAAAAAGAAATCACACAAGACATGTTAGAGATGTTGCACAAGAACTCCTGTACAACCGTTGATTCACAGACAGCAATGGGTTAAAAACGTTCAGGAAACCTCGGAAGCTCAACTTCAGAGTGCAGCCCCACTATGAAGTGTGAATTAAAGACAGGGACAGTATAAAACCATACAAAATTGTTTATATAGTTAGCTTGCGACACTATCAAGCATATTTAACAGCTGCTGATAAAGCTATGGACAAATGATGAATCTGTTAAGCAGCAATAAATAGCCTGTCTGGTTTTATAGCATGCACATAGAGCGGTATT